GAGTGGAGATGTGCAGATCGCAAGCGAAAAAAAAAAAAACCATAAAAAAACAGCAGAATTTACGACTGGTGTTGTGTGATCATCAAGGTCTCTAATCCCATTTTCTCCACAATGCCACGACCTCGTCCTTTTTTCTTTTTTTCTTTTTTTAATAAAGAATGCTTCATCTATTGGTGGGGAGCAGCACCTACTGGAAAACGGGTCCGTCGTCCTTGTACATCTGAGTTTATATGTTGGAACTGAAGACCAAATTTTCAGTATCTATATCTAATTCCTCATTGCAGCTGGTTGGTGAATACTCATTTATAGAACTGTAAGTCATTTTCAACAATTAGGTAAAAAACAAGATCCGTGAAAACTAATTTATAGGACTATAAATCAATTTTGATGTTAACAATAGAACCCTTACTAATAGCAAAAAAATATGTTATTTAAAATAAGAATACAAACAACTTTTGCTAGGGAGACGACTTCAATTTTTTAGCCAAACACGAGTTCAAAATTAAACAAAATGAGGGAAAAAAATAAATAAATAAATAGTAAAAAATATTATGTTCGCTAAGGTACGAGAGAATATGTTTGAGAACATGTTTGAGCGTTAAAAAAAAAAACAAATACGTTCATTGTGCTTTACATCTTATAGGACTATAAACATGATTTTTTGAGATAACAAAAAAAAAAGATATTTCAGTTCTTGAACATACACTGCTTCACCAGGTAGTGATTTTAAATGGAAAAACCTGATTTTCTTCTCGTTACTTCCAGTGGTTCTCAAAAAGTAATTTTCTATTTTTTTTCCTGCAGTTGTTTTACTTCAAGTAGAATTTTGTTTCTAGAGGAGGCCTGAAAAACGTACTATCATAATCTTGAATACATTTCGTGCAAACCTAACAATTTGTTTTGTTAGGTTTTCACGAATCCTCTGTTCTTTACATTTTTCGCGTTGTACAGTCACTGTGTTGTTTATGACAACAGACCAATTATGCTTAGATCTGCATGTGTAGGTGTGCTTGCAGTATGTGGCTCGCGGGCTAGGTTGTTGTGTTTCTACCTGTGTCTATCAGCCACAACTCGTCCTATTAGCAATTATGAAGAGGTATGACCATCACCGTGCCCAAAACCACAAATGGGTCTTTCCCAAATCCACCAAAAATGCGCGTTTGGGATAGCATTGTGATGACATCGCCACACCACTCTTGAAAACGTGTTTTCAAGAGTCCGAGCGCCGCCACACAGACTGTTAACAGACTTTTGCCAAATTCACTTACAAGAGGTGTCAGAAACTGGGTTCAAGGGTAGCTCTCGAAACACTGAAAACCCCAACCTGCAATACCTCTCTTTTCAGAAACTAAGCATTCAAAAAGAGGTCAGTAGTCATTCATATTTTTTCTACCTCTCTTTAATTTTTTCAATAGTTCTCAGATTGATTCTCAGCCGAAGCCGGGTAATGGCCCCGGTATCTCAAATAACTTGTGTAACTCTATATGGGACGTTGGGCCCGGTTCCCAGCACGTGCTGCTCCCCACGAATAGACTGGAGCATTTATCCTTCAAAAAAAAAAAAAAAAAAAAAAAAAGGGCCTAAGGTCTCAAAAAGTGCACGTAAGTGTTCAATATGACATTGTGCACAAGCAATCAGTCGAAACATCATGCAACAACACATTAGTCAAAACAAAGACGAAGACATAGCGATGAGGGAAAAAAGAATAGACGACGCAAATACAATCCGAGCACAGGGCGCATCGTTTCGAAATAGAAAAAAACATGAAACAACGATGCATGGCGGCGCGACCCGACGCCGCGTTTCGACCAGTCGCCAACTGGTCATCGTCAGGGGTCAACTCCTGGCTACAGATGACGAAACATACTGCTGACAGTCCTATAAGTACTCTAGTAAATAACTATATGTTCGTTCGATACATCGCGCCTAGTCAAAATAAAAAAGGAGCCAACCGGCTCGGACAATGTCAGGCGAAAAAATCCCTAAAGTCGGACCCAAAATCTAAACCAAGGCAAAACAGTAATAGTCCTACCGAGTAACCCCGAAAAGTCCCCATAGTTGGGTCCAAATACTAAACCAAGGCGAAAACAGTGGTAATCCTACCAATCGACCCTGATTCGGCCTATCGTCGACCTTGTCTGCACTTACCACTTTGTCAAACAAAGAACCCACCAATCCCACACGTGATTGTACCGCTTCGAAAAATGACCCAAACATGTATCGAAATAATCGTCAGGAAAATTCCTAATTCTAAGTTTTATTTTTAATATCAATAAAAAACAAGCCTCTGCTCCAGGCATACTGTTCATACATTTTGCTCTATGTAGAAAGGAGGTAATTACGGCCATTTTGTGTTGTCTTGAAGAGTAAGATGAATAGTCTTGGAGGCATTGAAAAATAATCCCCTCATCTAGGACGCAGTGCTCGTTCTTATGAGTCACCGCACACAACACCTTGGGAATGTTATGAAAGACTTTGATAACGTAACCTAGATAATTCCACGCTTCATCCTCGTTGATCCTCTCTAAAGTGAGCATGTCGTCATAACAATTGCTAAATCGTTCTATAGCTTCGTTAACTTGCGATCTGGAAACCATGGACCGTCTATCGTAATTCACAAATACTGAGACATCATCAATCAACCGTACACCTATGAACAACTTCTTCTGTGCTCCTAAAGAATCTAGAAAACTACTTTCATTATAAACACAAAGAAGACATGCTAATGCAGGGCTAGCAGGCTTGCCCATTGGTATACCTGTTCTCTGCTTCATAACTTGTCCCATACACATAGTAAAAGTATTCGATAGGTCAAACACTACAAAACTGAGCAACTTGAAAAAGTTCACGGATTTCCAGCCTTCGGGAGCAGTCTTCACTTGTGTCAATCTTGCCCCTTTACCTCTAGATTTAACTAGAACTCTAGTGTGCCCACCTTCTTCATACAACAAAATCAACCATTTTAAAGCCTTGATGATAGAGTTATGTGGCAAATTCGAGAACATCTCCTTTACGTCGTAACTGACACCAATAATCTCTTCAAAAGGTTCAAAAGATGAATTTAATTTAGTTAGTCGAGCTAGAAGATCACTGGGAGACTTAAGATTGAAATTCGTATCGTTAGGAAGGGACCATAAAAGACAATTGATAGCTTTAGAAGTAATGCGGCTGAGACTAGCAAGAGGATCTGACCAAGATGGACAAACGAGCCTCCATCGTTGCACATCTTTGTGCTTAGGCATAGCATATGCTTTACCCAATTGGCATTTGTAATTCCATCGGACGTGCTTGGTAATCTTATTACGAAAGTAATCTTTCTTGATGTCGTTAATAACCTGTTGTTCACTCCTGCTAATCTTCTCGAAACCTTCATTCATTAGAAACAAACGGTTAAGTCACTCCTGCTAATCTTCTCGAAACCTTCATTCATTAGAAACAAACGGTTAAATCCATCCTGATAGACTATTGAACAACATACAAAAGAGTCACCAGGATTATGGTCCACCGCGCAAGCTACTAACCCATCGAGCTGATTCTTTTAATCCTTCACGACGCTGCACTCAACGTCTAGATACCTATCATGATCCTTCCTTATAGAAAAGCAGTGACCTATATCGGCATCAGTGAGAGAAAAGCACGATGTGTCATTCTGAACATCACAAAGTGTTTGCTTAATGGTACATAAAAGAGTCTGAATATTGGAATGCAGATTCGGGTAGGGAATATTACGGGAATTTTTAAGAATGAAAGGGATATTAATAGAAGATAATCTACATGCTATATGACCTTGGGTATTAACGGTTAAAGGGGGAAGTAGCGAGGAAGAAGATTAAGGATTAATAGAGGAAGGAAAAGGAGCCGGTAGTGGGAAGATTGACGTAGAAAAAGCAGGAGAAGTCGTAGGAGAAGTATTTGGCAACGAAGCACAAGAGAAGGATGTACAAACACATTTCAGAGAAGTCTTCCTAGCTGCATGTCGAAAGTTTTGTAAGTAGTCAGCAACTGACTTATTTTTCGGACAAACAATCTTGAGGCGTCTACTGATAATATCGCGAAGAGGTTTCCTAATTGACGAGCTACGAATAATTCGGATACACAATTTCCTTAATTTGCTTTTAGAAAGTCCAGCGTCATACGGGATCTTAACAATAGGCTTAACCCTGATATTAAAATCGTATTTAACCCGTAGTATCCTTGCCAATACATCGCGCAACGTACTTCGACTCCTCTTTTGTGAAAACGCTCGACAACAAATTATCAAAGTCACGCTTATACCAGTTCTTACGTGAAGCTGGACATGACAGCAATGGGGTCAACGTCTTCTTTCTTTCCAAACTCTGTTTTTACAACGGAGCATCCGTACTTTCTTTTCACGAGTTTTCACTGATTACATAGAACCGTACCCCCATTACATGTTACTGAAAACGAAAAAATATTTCTCTCAACGGGGTCATCAAGAATCCTTAACAAAGAAAAAAAGAAAGTACTGAAACTGGAAGCGAAGCATAACAAGGTAGAAGAACCATGACTACGACTGCGTTCCAAGTTAACATGACTTTTTTTCTTCCTACGTTCTTTCTTGCCAGATCTACATCTCTGATTAGCGTTACACTTAGTATTTCCTGGATTATTAAGAAAAGGGGAAAAAAAATGGATGAAAAACGCTCGACGTTCAAAAGGTCTTGTGCCGCTGAGTTGCTACAGGTATCGCTACGTAGTTTTCGATGTCACATTTTCTCAACCATCGGTACAATCGATGGTTTCTCACATTAGTATCCTTCCCTTGATAACCAGATCGTTGTACGTGCTCCTTCCGGCGCACATCAAAGGATCGAGAACTACACCTTACATAAGTATGCTTATGCCACGGTGAGATAAGAACGTAAACAACTGGACCAGGGCAACTGCAAAAGTCATAACCAGAAGATGATAATGTAGAAATAAATGGAGCGAATTTCACACCCCAAGGAATAGCAGAAGAAAGGATCAAAATAATAGCTAAGCATCGAAAGAGTTGATTAAGGTTATTCCGGCCCAACCCATCCTTAAATGTCCTTAACTTACGAACGTCAGAGAGTATAGAGAAAATACGACCAGTGCTCGGGGCCGATCCTACGACGTTTCCGAATTAGCAGGTGTATCCATGGAGGTGCCTGCAACATCGGTGGATGCTTCATCATCAGGTTCGTCTTCTGCATGGCCATCATGCTCGTCGTCACTCACCAGCCTTCGATTCGTGGGACGGTCAAACGCCCTGGCTGTGTAAATATCAGCCAATTGACTCGCAGTCTTCTTCACTCCTGTGTAGTCGATTTCTTCTTCTGCGCATAAAATCTCCAACTGCACCTTGAGGAGCTTTCCAAGGTTGTTACAGACTCTTTTGTGGAACCCGTCGCGCTCCTCTCCGACTTTTCGCACAGAGGTGATCTTCAAAACATCGTCGTTCTGTGGCGGCGTACTGATACCCATCTTCCCGCTTTTTCTCCGAAGCGACGTCTTCTGCTTCAAGCTGGATGGAGTTGCAATCTTGATTCTTTTAATTTTATCTTTGATTGCCGAGACCTCCCGTTCGACCGTATCCTTCTCATCTCGTATCTTACGGTAAACTTCAGTCAACTTCGCCCATTCAACAGGAGTCTGTGCGCAAACCGCCTGTCGGGATTTCCCTTTAGCCGGTTCAACATGAGGATTTTTTTCTGTGACAGCTTCCGAGCCCCGCTTGTTGTTTTTTTTAAGGTTTTCAATCTTTCCTTTCAGCACTAAGAAGTCGTGGACCAAGGCTTGGTTATCCGCTTTGATGGAGTCGAGCTCTCTGCTGGTCTTCCCGGACGCCATACGCAGCAGATCGTCATTCTCTCTCCTCAACTTCTCTAATTCGTCCGCCCTTTGTTTCTCGAGCTGTTCTCTGGCTGCCGAATCCTCCCGCCTCCATCGATCTTCTTGCTGCTTACGTCGGATATCTTCTTGTCTTACTTCCTCTCGTCTTGCCGCATAATTGCGTCCAGCAGTGGTATCCTGGCTGGTACTGCCTTCTTACCGATAACTTCAGAGCATACTTCCTTCATATTATCACGAACCATCTTTCCGAGGGACTGTTCGAACTCTTCCCTCTCCCGTTTTGCTTTCGCTCGCTCTTCCTCCGCAGCCTGGATCTTCTTCTTTTCCTCTTCCTCTTTTTGCTTATCCTCCTTGGCATGTCTCTCTTTATCCTTCGTCTCCATTTCTTCGGAGTACCATCCCCATACTCGTTTTAAACGGTCCTCTCTCTCCCTCTCACAATTGTCACCCCACCAGTTGTTCCTTTGTCGCTGCTGGTACCCCATCCTATAATTGTTGCCGTACCCTTGATTGTTGCCGTAACCTTGGCCCTGTTGGCCACCGTGCGCTTGGCCCGCACCTTAGTGATTGTACCAACCTCCTTCGCCTTGACCTCCATTCACAGCAGGCGGCCTGTACGGCACAATGGCGTTAGGAGCCGGAAGCAATCCATCATTGTCCTGTGGTGCTAGCGCTCATCCCTGATCTCCTCCATTACCGCCTAAGAGAGCAGCGGCGTTCGGGATCTGCCGAAGCTGGCAAATTGAATCCCTAATGAAATGACCGGGTTGCCTACAATGGTAGCAAACCCGAGGTCCTCCATTGTTCATAGTTGGCGAAAAGGCAGAAAACCGACGAAGGCGATAGAGATGAAGTACGAAGGAAGGGACATACAATGAAGTAACTGGATGCAATATGTGTAAAACGCAAGACACGAAGCACATAGAGCAGACTCAGTCGACGCAATCACTCAAAACGTAGTTTATACCATGGCGGTTATTGCGCGTATTGAAGCACGTAACTGTTCAATATGACATTGTGCACAAGCAATCAGTCGAAACATCATGCAACAGCACATTAGTCAAAACAAAGACAAAGGCATAGCGATGAGGGAGAAAAGAATAGACGACGCAAATACAATCCGAGCACAGGGCGCATCGTTTCGAAATTGAAAAAACATGAAACAACGATGCATGGCGGCGCGACCCGACGCCGTGTTTCGACCAGTCGCCAACTGGTCATCGTCAGGGGTCAACTCCTGGCTACAGATGACGAAACATACTGCTGACAGTCCTATAAGTACTCTAGTAAACAACTATCTGTTCGTTCGATACATCGCGCCTAGTCAGAAATCAAAAAGGAGCCAACCGGCTCGGACAATGTCAGGCGAAAAAATCCCTAGAGTCGGACCCAAAATCTAAACCAAGGCAAAACAGTAATAGTCCTACCGAGTAACCCCGAAAAGTCCCCATAGTCGGGTCCAAATACTAAACCAAGGCGAAAACAGTGGTAATCCTACCAAGCGACCTTGATTCGGCCTATCGCCGGCCTTGTCTGCACTTATCAGTGGGACCCTGGTAAGTGGACTCTTGAAAAATTATGTCAACTCTTGAAACATTTTTTGGTGTTTCAAGAGCAGTGTGGTGAGGCCCTGAGTAAGGGGCTCACCACACCCGGGGCAAGGTCCCACTTGCGCAAATTAGGAGATTTCGGCCGTTGATCTTTGCTATCTATGGTCAGTATCTCTTAATTTCTGCAAGTGGGACCTAGCCCCCGGTGTAGAAAGTGCATTGGTCGAAAGTTCAAGTCGCCACACACACTGTCGGCCAGCAGGCTGTAGACACAGCTCCGACACCTGTCAGAATTCGTGGTTCAAAAGCTCCTATTGAATCCCGGTTCTCTCCCCGGGGCCCCTGTCACAAACCATTTTCCGAAAGGACTTCTGCAGGTTGTTGAAAGCGTCGGGGCCGTTTTTCTTTCACCGAGATCTGATGGCCCCAGCGCGGATGTTGTCTTCTGTTCGACAGCGCCCGTTCGAAACAGGGCAACTATCGAACGTGCCCGCAGTCCTTGGCTGGTCCCAAGGAACGCAGCATGGTATGCTGAATACGAGGACAGACATCTCTGCGCGCCACACCATGCGGACATTGGCGGAGAGCATGCGGGCGGGGTGGAGGGGGGGGCACAGCAGGGTTTTTTTTTGGGGGGGGGGTAACTTCGGCGCAGTCACGAAAACAGTTTGTAATTGCACTTCAGGCAATACCGCGAATACAACACCCCCCCACGCGACCCCATGGGACCCGAAACGTAGGTCACATACATTCAGCATTACCGGCCCTTTTGCCTCAAGTGCAATTGCAAACTCGATCCCTGACTGCGCCGTAGTTTTCTCTTTTTTTTTTTTGCGGGACATCAATTACATGGGGCGCTGCGCGAAGCATATCTGGCCGTACTTCATCAGCAATGAATGGCTCCTGTGGGGGGAAGTACGACACACATCGAAGCTGGTCCTGGCGAAAATGAACGGCTGGATAGCGTCCGTGCGTGTGTGCCACAGGTAGCGGGACCCAGCGGGCACCACCATCAATGCTTTCGGCAGCCTCCCGTTGCCGCCACACAGCCCTGTGGAACGGACGCCAGGTCCTTCTGATCTCGAAAGTCCACTGTCGCCAGGTCCTGATGATCTCAAAAGTCCATCGTTGAATAGTTGCTGTGTGGCCAAGGGGGACGGTTCTGTCAAAACTCGAACTTTCAAGTTTTCACCGACAGCTTTCTAAAAATTGCAGTGCAAAAAAAAAAAAAAAATGCAGTTTTTCTCTCAAAGTCACGCTCAATATCACCTGGTCTCCAGTGTGATCAATGCTGGCAGATGGATACAGCCTCAAGTTCATAGCTCTGTATAAATATGTTCCTCAATATTTTTCATCTTTTTTTTTTTTTTAATTTTAATCTCCTTGTATATGTTCCTCAATATGTTTTAGAATGGGATTGAAGAAGTACACCTCAGACAGGGCAACAATGTGCCTCCTGGTACAGGGGCCAGGAGAAGTACATAGTAGCATTATGCCAACAACCTTGCACCTTGTTTCGTGCAAGCTGGACGGACCACATTCCCGCATGCAACAATCCTCAGCCCTCATCAACAGAAGTAACAAGAGCTGCGGTTTGCTTTCGGTACCACAACTATTTTATTTGGGACTTTTATCCTCAGGCATGGATCTGCAAAATCTAAGGTTCTCAACATTTTGGGTAACTTTCCATCCACGGCAACAAGCAACTACTCAGGATCTATGGCCGTCTAATTTTGATGTGATAGCTTACCCGGGTTGGAGCACGGCCTTGCTGCCCCGTCCGGTTCCGCTGCTTTGTCCTGTGACATTATAAGTCACAGGTGCCTGCCCAGCCACAATAACTTGAGCGCTCTCCCGAGCCGCGCCTTCCAGGCCTTGATTGCTCGCAGCATTCATTGCAAACGCAACCCTGCGTGCATGCCACACAAGGGTCAGGTGTTTCAGAGGTCGAGTCCTTTTCCCTCGCCTTGATTTGGTGAAGCGGTCCCGCCCGCCCTCGATTTTCCCATGGTGTGCGGGCCTGCGGCCCACTTCTACGACTCACTTCTGTGCAATCTGGCATCATCTACGGAGTTTTCCTTTTCTTATTTATCTGGAGCAGACCTGTGTAGCCTGATGAGCTACAGGGGACAGGGGAAGAGAAAGCTGCTTCTGCGCAAAACAGGGAGCTCAGGATGGGACAACGGAAGACAGGGCTGAAGTATGCCCTTATGACCCTGATCCATAACCACTCTGGGGAGTGTCGGTTCGGTTCCTACAAGTCAAGAGGGCGAGATACACCATTCATGGGAGGAGAACGCGAGTTCTACCGTGACATGCAGGGTTCCGAAGCAGGCCCCTCCACAAGGTTACAGAACAAGGACGAGTCTTAGAAGGCTGGACGAGTCTTAGAAGGCTTGCATTTCAGGGCTTAAGGACCACAAAGGTCATGTGCATGAGGACGAAGAGGGTATAGGGTCCAAGGGATTCCAAATTGGTTAGTCATACGACAGTGGCATTTCCTGTCCGTCAGAGCTAGGTTGATCGGTACTGGGGAGAATGGTGTTGCCCTGTCACCCTAGCAGAAGGGGGGTATGAGATCAAGTGAGCTCTGGTACGTGGACTGAAAGCCTGGACGGACGCCCCATCTGTTGAAAGGGGGAATTTAGGATAGTAGCCAGTTTTAGTCTTGTCCCCCCCGCCCTTATATTTTTCTAAAGCTTGTCGAATGTTCTAAAATTTTGGCCAATTAGATTTGCTAGCAGTTCCTAGTCTCATTTGCATGGAATTTTCTGATGAGTTTTCTGAACGTACTCGTTATGGGACGCCGGGCCCGGTTCCCAGTTGGTGCCAATTTGTGAGGATATGGTTGTATCTATGGGACGCTGGACCCGGTTTCCAGCAGGTGCTGCTCCCCACCAATAGATGGAGCTTGTGTTTTTTGAAATAAAAAATAAAAAAAAAGGAGGAAAAAAAAAACAAAAAAAAAAATGACAGTGGGGCTGCTGAAGTGGGCTGGGCTAATAGACAAAGGGGTGCTCTATGAAGGGAAGGGTGTCACTAGCAGCCCCATGGGTCGACGGAGACCCGGGTCTGAGTAGAGAAAAGTCCACAGCCTCTGGAAAATAACAAACACAATCTTGGTCTGATAAGATGTATTAATGGGACGCTGGACCCGGTTTCCAGCAGGTGTCAATAGATGGAGCAGCCCGACAGAGAAATCCTCAATCCTGGCGGTTCTCTTACCACCGCCGTGGTAGAGGGTTTACACAAGGGCTAATTCTTAAAAAAAAAAAAAAAAAAA